GAGTTAGATGTTCATTTTGTCAGCGAACGTGTTGATGCAGGAAAACTTCAAGTGAATTATGTTCCTTTTGAACACCAGGTAGCAGATGGTTAAAATACATTAACAAAGGATTATTTTGCTCGATTTAGACAGAAGCTTGGGGTTTTCTCTATTGGTGAAGTTGAGAAAAGAAAGAGTATGGAGAATATTGAAGTATTCTAGAATGTTGAGTCTAGAAGAATCAGTTGTGTATCAGCTGTGCACTTAGAGTATTGGTTCTAGAAGAGTTGTTGAGATAGTTAGTTGGTTAGTTGGTTATACTAGAATGAAAGTTGGTGATTGTAGAGTTGTATTTATACCTTGTATTCGATCAATATGAAGTAATGAATGAAGTTTCTTTAGTTGTAATGCTATCTGCATATTTCAATAACTTGCAATAAGCCAACCTCGAATAATTTGATATGAAATGTATTTAAAATATATTCTGATTTATTTTTATAATGTTTACAAAATGATATTCAGATGATTTGAGTATAAATTACTCAATACATTTATATGATATTTTATTAAAGAATGCTTTTAATAATTTCTGGAAATAGTTTTGAAATGATTCTATGATATGAACTATTCAAAGTATTTTATTAGATTATTTGAGTATAAATTACTCAATACATTTATATATATATATGGATATATGAACGAGATATGATTATGACATAAAAGCACATTGTATGTGCATTGAGAGTCGTAGGTACAATGGCATGACATGAGGTTAGTGATTACTTATTACTGAACTGGTAATCCGTGAACATTACATGTGGCAATGTTGCTGCAAGTTATATGAGGCACTTTCGAGTTTATATTACTAATTATTGATGAGGTACCTCGAGTGCATATTATGCACACTCGTCTTACTTATGTAACTTGCATCCCATTTAACATACATTGGGTTATGTTTATATGAAATTGAAAAGTGCAGGTTTTATGAGCTAAATAAATGAATAGTATAAGTTATTTGAATTGAGATGAAAGTAATTAGTTCACTATGTGTGATGATTTTTGCATGATATGCCTTTTATGATATAATGTGACTATATATGTTATATGATTTGAAAGAAAGCTAATACTTTCTGAGTATACTGATTTGGCATTATATGTCTTATATATATATGTGAAAGGATAATTTTTCAGGTTACAATTTTAGTATAAAGAAAAAGGTTTGAAATGTTATATTTACATGTTCATATGTCATTATACGACAGTTTTAGAAATTTGAATAATTATAATCATTTCATGTTTTAAAAAGATTTATTTTAGTTTATATGCCTCACTAAGTTTATACTCGTGTGAATGTTTCACGCACAGGTAAAGAAAAAGGATGAAGCTACAAAGTGAGGAACACATCGAGCATCACATTTTGGGGAACCATATCCACATATAGTATCAGTAAGACATCTATGATATTACTTTGGCATATTAGTGGCATGTATATTATAACTGTTTAGTTGCTATGATAGATTAATTAAAATAGTTTGTACTAGTAAATTAGAATTGCTTTAGTTATGTTTAGTAGTATAAATGAGTCTTAGTTTATTTAAATATATTTTAAATGCTATCAAAATGGATTTTAAATTAGGGAAGTTTTGGACAGTTTATTTTATGATATGAAACAACATCGTATTGCTAAATTGCTTCCTAAAACTGATATCGATTTAAATGTTTAGATATTGTATTATGATTTTACGCGACCTTATTATTTTATTTAACGGATTAAATTGGAAAAATTCTAAAGGAACAAACTTGTACTAGTTTTCAATTGTAGAATGTTTGTAAATATCGTCTGACATCTTTGAGTCGTATTCAAGGAGGTATACGAGTTAAGGGTGTTACAGTTTCGCAATAATGCTTATGAGAGTACTATAATTAATAAACATAAAAGCAAGAAATGACATGACAAACATATTTGCCATGACAATTCCATGTTGGGCAGCAAGTATTGTTATTCAACCCTAGCTTGAAGCTCTTCCCTGAAAAACTAAAATCTCATTGGTATGGTCTGTTTGAAATTATCGAAGTCTATCCTCATGGACAAGTTCTATTGAAGAACTTAGTGGATAAAAGTACATTCAAAGTCAATGGCCACCAACAAAATCCACACATTGCTTCTATCACACTAAGAGAACTTTTTTTAAATTTAGTGTTGCTTTCATAAGTCAATATACACTTCATATTAGTTCACTTTAAAGTAGAATTTTAATTTTTTTTTTCAATACAGTGATTGCTAGAACATTGTCTACTACATCACCGATTTTTCCACCACTTTTGTTGCACAACAATCGCTAATGTTTTGCATGGCTGATGTTGTATCAGATGCCACCAGCAAAGGTCAGTTGGGCAGTAACTTTTACTGGTAAAAGGTAATAGTGAGTTGTCACCCACTGTTTAACCCAAATCATCATATCTTCTCATTTAACTTCATCTTCAGCATTTATTTAAATATTATCTCACCCTCTAATTTATCCTTATCTACTCATCCATTCAAATGAAAAGATAATTTTTTCCCACTTTTACACACAAATGCATCATGCCCAATGCATTCCGTTAACATTTTGTTATTTAGGAACTACATATGTAATGTTGCAAGTTTAATGTTATTTAATAAATGAAGTTTTTAGTGAAAATTTTTATGATGCCCTATGATGAAAAAATTGAAATTGTGAAATGCTATGGGAATGTTTGAGACTTGTTAGAATTAGGATCCATAGAAACCTTTTTACACTACAGGGGTATGTCTCAATACTTAGAGAAATTAAAAAAAATTGAACTTTAAACCTCATCTTTATTAAATGTTATAGAAATCTTAGTTAAAAAAATTGTTTTACATAGAGAATAAGTTGGAATAGCCTGCAAATGGCTCCAACATTAGCATTAGTATGATTGCTACAACAATGAAAATCATTAATTTAGATGAAGAAAGATGAAGTCGTTTTCTCTTGTTTTGCTTAAGTAGAAAGAAAGATAAGAGGAAGAAGAAAGAGATGAGATAGGTAAGAGTTGGGAAAACATGATAAAAGGGGTTTGAATAATACCCTTAAAATCCCACATGAAAATCAGCTAGAATCCTTAGCATGTTTTTCCCTAATGGAGAAATTACACTATAGGTCATTTCTTTTCATCTTAAGTTCAAAAATCCCCTTTCTTATTCCTAGTTAAGTAAATTTATCACTCAATTCAAATCAAATTTAACCCATGAAACCTTTATACAATAATTAATCCATTTAAATAACTTCGGATTAGTACTCGAATATTGACTCAGAAATAAAGGTCGTTACACATGAGTTCACCTAGCATAAGATAATAGTTAACAATAGAAACTGGTGTCACCTAGCATCATATCATTCATAAAGAAAAGATGAATAAAAATAACAACACATGATGTCACATAACAATCAGGTAAGCAATGACAATGGTACTTGCTGTCAGTAAGCAATCAAGTATCATTGGCGAAGGTAGTACCTAGTGTCATTAAGCAATCAGGCATAGCTCCACCAAACATAAATATGAGAAATGATTATATGATGTCACTAAGAAATCATATTATACAATCATTGATATCCAAATAATTTATTCCCACACGCGATCATATACATTCATAGGTACCCAAAGACCACACATATCAATATTTTCCCTTTAAGGAAAATCAACGTAGCTTAACTACATAGTCATAAAATTTTCTCAACAAGGCACAATCCTTTCATCCCAAGTCACAATATCTTTACTCAATCATAGTTCATTCATTCTTAGAGCGTTATGTTATGGTATAAAAATCTTTTATTATCTTATGACCCTTAATCAGATTTATCGAGTGATTATTCAAGTTGTGAGGAATTATCATTCTTTTTCTTTCACATGCAAACTGATCATTTGCAACATAAGGCATTTTAGTATCTTAGCCTTCAAGGAAGTTTTATTAATATCAATCACCTTTAGAAAAATCATTTATCCTTCGAGTTACTACTCAAATATTGACTCAAACATTTTAGTCATCTTACTCGATTTCTTTTATCAAGCTTTTAAAATAATTCATCTAACATAGGGGTATTTTGGTAACTTACACATAAAATGACATTTCAGTAAATTTACCCCTCTCAAAGGTATTTTAGTTTTGGGCAAACTATATGGGAATTCATCTTAGGGGTATTTTGGTAACTTACACATAAAATGACATTTCAGTAAATTTACCCCTCTCAAAGGTATTTTAGTTTTGGGCAAACTATACGGGCGGTCCTTATGTTTTTGGTCCATTCAATTTTGGTTACGGACGATCGTTATGCTTTTTGTCTATTCGATTTTGGTTACTAGATTAAAAAAAGAACGGTTTGGGTCTCTTATGTTGTCAATTAGTCTCTCAGTTGGTAACTCCCGTTAACTCATTAATAGAAGTCAGTTAGCAATTAAAAAAATTAAAAAAAATAATGTCTCTTCGGGTCAATTAGGCCCAAACTTAGCCTAACAATTCTAAATACCCAATTATATGGGTCTATAGACCTCTCGGGTCAATTCTCTCGTGTTGATTGAGAAATTTGAGGTATTATAATTTCAAAGTAATATAGAGATTCTGAAGGAATGTAAAAGTTGAGCTTTACCGTAAAGCTGTAGAAATTCGAAAGGAATTGTTGCGCCCTATGCCTGCAGAGAGAAATGAAAGAGAAAGATGTATAAAAGTAATGATATTGGGTTAGCTTCAAGTTGAAGTAGACTCAAACCTGGAATTGGATATCTGAACATCTGGGTTTTGTGAGGCCAAAATATTGCTTGTCCCCAAAGTGAAGTACATCATTGATTTTTTATTATTGTAAAGATAGCAATATAAGAAACGTCGGATGCATAAGATAATGACCATTCTGTCTACAACTGTACATTCATTGTAAAAATAACTACCATACATACATACATACATATGTATTTATATGTAAAAAGATATAATACATTATATATATGGCTGTCCCTTGTTCCCATAAATATATTATATATATATATAATATTAATCTCATTGAATGTTTTGATTTTATAAACCCTGATTAGAAAGAAGTAAAACCTTCATTCTCAGATGAATTAGAGTCATCACATGGAGAGTGGTTGTGTCTACCTTCATAAGTAGTGATCACCATTCTACAATCCTCAGACAATCTTTCAACTCTCTTCTTCACTCTACAGTTGTTGTGCGTGCATCGGTAATAGCTTCTGCACTCAAACCAAACATATTTGAATATCTATAACCACAATTTGAAATGAAATAAGCACTGAACTGCAGCATTCTAAATCTCTGGGTGAATGCAAATATATGATTGAGTGATGGAGCAAACTAGTGCGCACGCAGCAGTAGTCAGCTTTTCTTTAACATGGATTTATTTTAAACAGCTTCTTCACACTTCACAGGAGCTTTAAGTCATGAACTCATGATGAAAAAACTGTGTCAGAAACCCATTCAGTTTGTTCTTTGATTACTTTGTTTGAATTTCTAGGATAATTTCACATAAAAGTTATCATTTGATCAAACGAGGGTACCCCTTGGAATGTTGAGCAATATATATATTAGGATCAAATATTCCTGAATTGTAATCTAAACAGTCTGTTGCGTCATGGTTTCTAAAAAAGGAATCTATGAAGCATGTAAAAGTGACAAGGAAAGAATTAAAAAAAAAGGACGTATGGTATGTACCTAGGATGAAGGCTGTTCTTGACAACCTTCTGCCCGTATTTTCTCCACTTGTAGCCGTCGTCTAGCACATCCACATCGCTTCTCGTCTGGAAACAAAACCTTGGTTCCCTAAGCTTTCTCCTAATCTTCACTTTGTTCTTCTCTAAGGCTGAGCTCCTCCACCTGCCAAAAACCCAAAGGTGCTCTATGAGAGCCAGTATCTAATTGATTGACATGAAATGCAGATTCGGGTATCAATTCGTATCAAGACTTTCTCATATCAAACTATTACTTGTCTTCTTCATATTCTGTATTGAAAGTATCCCATGAGCAGCAAGCTAGGGCAGATCTCACTAGATTTGGGGAAGATCTTAAATGATTCTATACATCTAGGGCATAATATTATGAGCCAGCTAGCGTGCATGTTGTTTTGGTGGGAAACTATTTTCAGAGCGTGTGCTCTTGATACATGAAAGACAACATGACCCATAAAAGAGAAGAGGAAAAAAATGAAGCTAAAAGAGATATGAAATCAGAATACCATGAATTATTATTTCCATCCTTTGCGTTACTGGCACAGTTCTCATCGTGTACGGCTTTGGGAACGGGATCTAAGCTCCCTACCTAAAACAATTTCCCACACCACCAACATACATATATAAGATACAAAGACCAGAAATTTATTGCCACGAATACCAAGAAAAATCATAAAGAAACAGAAAAGGTAGACAAAATCCCATAATACTACTATATACTGAAACATGTAAAAAAAGATTGTATTTCAGCTTAGGGAAGACGAAGGTTTGTATTTGGTAAAACCAACATATATACCTGGTCGCTATGGCTGAATCTGATGGCGCTGGGAGAATTGGTGGAATTACTAATGGGGGATGTACTGATAGGCTGAGATATAATTTGATGAGAACACAGAGAGGGAGCCAAGAAACCCATAACTTGGTTCTCTTCAAACTGTGTATACCCACTTTCATGGATCGCCTGTGGAGTAGTCGAGAACGAGACTTGCAGCTCATAATTAGGGACTCCTCTTTCTCCTCCTTCCATTTGCATTCAATCAAAAAAGGAACCAACAAGCTCTCCTCCAAGTCGTCCTCACGAGATTGCTTGAAAGTTTTCGTAATTGTTTGTTTTGCATAGCAAATAGACGGATCGAGTGCTCTTTTGAAAAGCAGCGTCTGGTCTGATCAACTAGTAATCGCTAGATACAATATTTCTCCCGGAGGTTATGCTTTTTCTCATCTTGTTGATCGTACGCCAAGACTTGCACAACTTTCTCTAAATGCACAGTGAAACCAAATAATTAAGCGGATAGGCAAGTATCACAAGGGAATATAAGAGGACATATTATTACTTATGAGTGAATAGTTTTTGGCCTTTATGGAGTTCATTTGATGCATGCATTTGTAAGAGAGCTGGTTCAATGGGGCATGCATATCATTTTTCTATTGACTGTCGATATCTTTTTATACGTTTATAGATATAGGATCGAGTTGCATAAATTTTGGGCTTTCCCCTTGGGAAAATGAGGTTTTTGAATATTATTATCTGAGGTGAAAACATATGCAATAAAAATAATACTCCATAGTAAATATGTGCATTCACAAATATATTTCTAAAAACATATATTACTTTAGAAATACATATATATATATATATATATATCCAGTTTAATGGTTATATTGTGGATGATTTTGCAGCTGTTTTAATTCATATTGTAAAGTATTCCGACAAGAACGGACTTGATTACAGCTCAACCCTGAGCTTAGCTGGATATATTAAGAACAATACAAGGTAATTTGTAAAAACTAGTGTATATATATATTGTATTAACTATAGGCTTAATACTAAAATAAGTGTCCAAACTATATTTAAATTCTTGAATAGGTGCCTAAACTATTTTTTGACTCATCCAGGTGCATAACGTTACGAACGTTACCCATTTAGGTGCTCAGGCCGTGAACGACGTTAATTTCTCCTTTAAATGATACATGTCTCAATCGGGTGATTTCAAAAAAAATATTTAAAACTAAAAGAATTAAAATTATATATACTTTTAAAGAAAAACACAAATATTTTGAAATAACCCAAAAACTTTGAAAATCATCATTTCAACTCCGAAGCCCATGCCAACCGTCGCCCTTTGTCGTCGACGAAGCTCCACCCAACCTCATCTTCCCTAGCAACCAAAACCCCATAAAATCATGATAAATTAATGGTGAATCGGCGTTTTATACCCCACGAACCCTAGGATAAAAAATCGCAATCCCACGCGATCTCAATGGCCAATCGACGACAATTACGACAACGTATAACTAGAAGGATGACAGGAATACGTAGGCAGAGGTGGTCGTGGCAGGAAAGGGGACGGCGTGTTAAGGATAAGATTTGGGTATTTTAAGTATTTTGAAGCTATTTTATAATTTAAGATAAATTAAGGTAATAATATTATTTTAAAATAAATTTCAAAATATCATATCGTGACACGTGTCACTTAACGGGGTAAATTAACGTCGTCGACGACCCGGTCCCTAAATGGGTAATGTTTGTAACGTTAGGTGCCTCGATAGGTTAAAAAATAGTTTAGACACTGTCAACACACATTTTCGTCCTACTAGGATTCAAACTTCTAAAAATAGGATAAAATTTTGCTAGGATTCAAACTCCTAAAAATAGGATAGAGTTCTACTAAGATTTAAATTCCTAAGATAGGATCCACAAGCACTATAAATAGCCATTGTAACTCACCATTGTAACACACGATTTACACACAAAACATAGAGGAAAGCATGGGAAGATACAAAGGCAAAATTATTGTAAAGGATTCGAAAAGGAAATAAAAGGTAGCATTTTCTTTTTTCTTTCTTTTGCATGTGCATGTTATTTTTCTTGAGATTTGGTTCGAATAACCCAAAACGTGGGTTGCGTCGATGACCAAAATGGGTGGGGTTTCGAAGTTTCGAACCTAGATCTACCCCGAGGCTTATTTTTAAAAACCGGTTTGATTTTCGGTTAAAGGAGGGGAAGAGCTTTTTAAAAATCTATATTAGTCCCTTTATTTATTATATGGATATTTTATTCATTTATTTTTATTATTAATGTTATTATTATTATATGTATATATATATATAATTATTTTCATTTATTTTTTTACTATATTTTATTATTATATATATATATTTCTTTAATATTTTACTTATAAGTCTAATATTACTATATATATTGTAATTATCTTTATCTAGTCGTATATATTTTTTATACTTTTAATAGTTTATTTATATACCTATTATTAAATATATATTCTTAATTATTTTTATTTGATTATTTCTTTATTTATGTAATATATCTTATAACTTTATAACTTTATATTATTTTTTATTATTTTCGTTTTTTTTATTCATTATTATTATATTATTATTATTTTTTTAAAAAACCTTGTGTCTTTATCATTATTATTATTAAACATTATATTATATACTACTAACCTAGAGGGCCCATTTTTTTGTCTTATTTCTTACTAAAGCCCCCCACTTTTGGTGAATTGGAGGGTAGCTTTTCTATTTTAAGTATTTGGTGTATATATATAGCTTATTTATTTTATTAATACTTTGATATATATATATTTTTATATTTTTTTCCTTTTTTCAAATATTACTATATATAATTATTATTTTACTATTTTTTTTTCTTATCTTACTTATTTATTTTATTTTTCCCTTGTATCTTATTTGTTTTCTTTACATTGTTTATCTAACACATTTCTCGATTTTTTTTAAAGGATATTTTCAAATCAATCAAGGGTAAGTAATTAGGATCGAAACTTTACCTTTTAATTTAACTTGTTATTTTTCTTAATTAAGACAACTGAAAATTACGTAGTACCGAAAGGGCGGTTCAAGGGTGCTAATCCTTCCTTGACCGTAACCGACTCCCGAGCCCGACATATTTCTGGTAAGACGCAGATCAGGTAAGAAATAGGGTATCCGATCAACCCATTTATTTTTAAATAAATGATCGGTGGCGACTCCAATCCACATTTTTCTAAGTCGAAGCCCAATTCCGAGGCCCAACTGAAAGACGGTTGCGACAGCTTGGCGACTCCGCTGGGGACGGTAAGTGAGTCAGGCTAAGGTAATTTCCAATTGTCTTTTTAACGAAAAGGGTAAGTTTAAATTTTAAGGTAATATTTCGATCCTTTTTACTTACTTTTTATTATTTTCGAGTAAATAGTTGGACTAATCGTTTTTTCATGATTTCAGCCTTCAAAGTTTTCTTTTTTTCATCTAAAGGCTCTATACCCCGAGCTCCGAACCCGTTTTAAGTGGGGGTGAAAGCGACGCCTTCGTGTGAATTTATTCACCGTATGGGCCTAGCAAGTATCCTTCGGGATTCATATACCTTATGCCTTCGTGTGAATTTATTCTCCGTATGGGCATAAGGGAATGTGTCCTCTCGAGTTTAACTTAGTCCACACAAGCCTGTGATGGGTTTAGGACTAAGGAACGACAATTACTTAAATACGTTCATATTGCCAGAAAAGCCAAAGGGTCAACAGGTCAGGTTTTACTACAATTACTTGACCCAAGGGGGCACCAGCAAGGAGAACTCGGGTACCATTTTTTAGAACCTAACCCAGGAGACTATGAAGAAATTAAGCCTACCCCGAAACCACATTCTGAAACTTATGACATTTTTTTTAACCTTGTTGTTTTTGTGTATTTTACTTATTTATTTTTATATTATTATTTTACTAACCTTTTTGGCCTTTGTGTTTGTTTTATAGCATTTTGCATCATAACAAGAGGTTACTGATCCCTGAAAAGGTGTTTATTACACAAAATAATCTGAATTAATGGACAAAGGTGTTGTAATACAAGAGACTAAGAACCCCGATGTACGACTATAGTCCGAGAAGACTCAGAAAGAAAAGGGAGACAACCTTCAAGAAAGCTATGTGTCAGAGCTGGTTAGCTACGCATCTATCAGCCTAAAACAGAACAATGTGCAGGAGCTTCGAGATATCTGGGACAGTTGGAAGGATGATCGGAAACAGAAGTTCAGCCAACGGTATGGTGACATTGCACTTTTACTTCACGTTAGGATTGATGAGCCCTTGATTAGAGCCATGGTCCAATTCTGGAACCCGAGATACAGTTGTTTCACTTTTAACTGGGAAGACATGGTGCCTACTATCGAAGAATACACCATACTACTACATTGTGAAAACATCAAACTAGGGCGAGTCTACGTTAAGCACACCAAAAGTCAACCTTTCAAGAGTACACTGGCCAGAGTCGAATAGACGAGAAATGGGTAATTGATCGGACTCAGCGCAGAGGCAACGGGGAAGGAATTGAATGGATCCACATAAGGCAATTAATTAAGAACCACCCTGATGAGTGGAAAACTATAGACCTTTTCGCACTAGGTCTATACGGTTTGATTATTTTTCCGAAGGCTTTGGGGTGCATTGACGCAGCCGTGGTGGAATTATTTGAACAACTACCGAAACAAGTCAACCCAGCACCAGCCATCTTAGCAGAAACCTTTCGTTCTCTTAATCATTGCAGATGAGTTGGTGGAGGAAGATTCATTGGGTGTGTTCAGCTCCTTCAAGTATGGATTCATAACCACTTCTAGAAGACCAACGGGGTTGCCTACCGTCGATTTAGCACTACCTATTCACCTTTGGGAGAGTTCATCACCATGAAATGGCATGAAGGTGCTTCAAAAGAGAAGTGGATGAAAGTCTTCACTCATCTTCAGGACCGAGATATTGCCTGGAGAGCCCCCTGGTTGTTCCTCAGTGATGTTCTTTTCCAGTGTGAGGCTCTAACACGATGACCTTGCTAGGACTTTGGGGTGCAGTTGGGTATACTCCATTGTTAGCACTGAGAAAGTATGGGGCATGTCAGTTTGTCCCAGCAACATGCGGGCTATCTGGATCAGAATTTAGATATCACGGCAACAGCTGATCAAGGAAGCAGCCGATTCTTGGAAGAAAATATTCCGAATGGACATTGTAGCTGCCAAGAACATGCTTACCCCGGATTATGTGGAATGGCGAAGATTGAGGAAAAATGACAATATTCCGGTGCCAGACTGTGAGGACACCCAAACTATGGAAGAACATCTCAGGCCTGTCCTTTCTGAACTCGAGATAGCCAAGACAGAGTTTGAAGCTGTGAATAATGAGCTGAGGCAGAGGAAAAAAGAACTTGAGGCTGAGCGCTATCAGTGGAAGCTGGATGCCGATTCTCAGAGAGATAAAGTAGACAAACTGGAAAAGGAACAGAAAAGAGTCTGTTTCGAGCTCGAAGACTTAAGAAAGGGGTATCAAGATGCTGTCAAAGATAACTCCAAGTTGAAAATGTCCTCCGAGTACTGGAAAGACGAAGCTCAC